CAGGTTATGAAAGAACATATAAAAAAGAAAAGTCAAGTTCTAGTAAACGTTAGTATGCAAACTAACTGCTACCAGACTGCTCCAAAGCTTAATATCTGCTGTTAAACCCAAATATTTCCTGAAAATACAGTATTTAGACCACTACTACTCTATATGAAAGAAATAATACCTGCAAATTTTCAGAGACCACTTACACAATGTATAGATCTCACATTTCTTTCTCTTTCTCTTTTTTTATTGTCTGCTTCAGTTCAATACCTTGGGGCAACAAAAGGTGAAAGGAAGCAAAAATGCTCTAACTGATTAATTTCATTCCTTGCTTATAAAAGTTCTGAGGAAAGAGGGGGACTTCTTAGAGATGGTGATTCTAATGATTTAAATAGGGTTTTAGAATGCCTGTGGACTTCAACCTTTGTTATTGTACTATCTTTTAAATTTTGTACTATCATTTTTATATGTGTATTACCTTTTAAACTTTTGAAACTTAAATATGACACTATCTTTTTGAATTTGCTAAAGCAAACCAAGTTTATGTACTAAAGACAGCTATGTACTTCCTAAAGTCTGATTATAAACTAAGAGAAACCAGAATACAAAGTATATTAAGACAAAAAATTCCCTAAGGCTGAGAGAAAGCTTAATTAATATTTTTGAGAAGGCTAGAAATATTGGGGGAAAAAAAGTATTCAAAGTTCCATAAGAAAATGTGGTCCCATATTTCAAATTCAACAAAAGGAGACTTGAAAGATTAAAATTAGCAGCAGCTCATTTGGATGTTCACCCAGGCCAAAGGAGGTATTTCTGATTGTATTATCACTTGCTTCATAATTTAAAGTTCAATCCAACTCATTAGATTTCAAACTCAACTTCAGTATATTTAAATTTCTGATACTATCATATAAGATATTTCATATTCAGTCAACGTAACACAACTCATGAGTAAAACACAAATTCTACTTGACTTTACCAAATAAGAGAATTGTTTTATGATCTAGGAATAATGCCACAGTCAACTAAATATGACAGGTAAACAACACAGCTGATCAAACCAGAACCTGTTCAAACACCAAAACTAACGTACTCTAGTTAACCTTGAAGGACTACTACCAAAACTAGTAATGGCGATTTCAGGGTATATGTCAAGATTTCTTTGATTTATATTTCATTTTGATGAAAATACTTTAGAAGAGTAATCACAATAAAATTAGAGATGACAGAAATTACACAATAAAAGACAGAATTTCCATAATGACTGTAATCAGCACAACAAAGCACTGATTTTTGACTCTCCAGTCTGCTTGCTACATCTGATTTTACTATTTAGCCATTTATTATAAATCTGTAAACAGATGCTAAAAACAAGTAGGGCAGATGACTCAATTTGGTTTATATGATTAACTTGCAGCAGGTGAGCTCCACCTGCAGGCAAAGAAAAGATTCTTTAGAACAAATTTTAAAACAGGACTTTCCAAAGACAGTCTGTAACTACCGCCTTTCAGTTAACCTTGAGTGCACATTAGAATAACCCATGCTTTTTAAAACTTCTCATGGTCGAAAAATTCCGATCGAGTTGATCAGGGGTGGGGCTTGTAAGATGACTCAAATATATGGAAAACATTAAGAGACACTGATTTGAATCTTTACCAGCACACATCTTGACATTAGGAAAACTCAAATATCATTTTGTTTCTTCTAAAATGACTTCTCACTATACTGACCCTTTCACCTTTTTCAGAGATTAAACTGAGTTCAACTGATATAAATGTCTTATCTCTGTTAGACTACAGAAAAGACCTGAGGTGACCCTACAGTTTTTTAAATCTACCTTTACATTATTGTGTGCCTCAGAAGTAATCGAGAGCGAGTGTTTGGTGGGGGTTGGGGTTCTTAACCCTTAGCTGCACATTAGAATATCTAGAGAGATTTTACCAAGTATTATTGCCCTAAATTAATGTTATGTTCTTGGAAGTTAGAAAAGTGGTTACTATCGGGGGAGGAGGGGAGAAATAACCAGAATAGGGCAAGAGGGAGACTTGTGGGTAATGGCAATTTTCTGTTTCTTGAGCTGGGTGATGGGTATAGGGGTGTATTTGGCTTGTAAAAATTCAGCAACCGATGTATTTATTATATGTGCACTATGAAATACAGTTCATACAGATATAGTCTGTACATACACTATATTTCAATTGAAAGTTAAAAAGTAAAAATGCATGTGCCCAGGCTTCACTGCAGACCAAATGATTCAGAATCTTTGGGATTGGGAGCTGGGCATCAGTATTTTTTCTTTTCAACATTTCTCCAGTGAATCTAATGTGGAGTCAGGAGTGAAAACCATTCTTCTAATGAATCACAAATGTATTCATTCATTTATTCGCCCACTCATTACACAAACTTTAATGACCAATTACCCCATGCTTATTATACAAGACTCGGCGGACATAAGACAGTCTCCAAAGGAGCTCATTATAGGCAACGGATAGTAGGCAAAGCAATAAATCTCACGTGATACATACAAGGAAATTACTTATAAGATCTGGAGGAGAAAGTGATTTGTCAAAGAAGGATTCACTCTTTTTTTTTTGTTCATTCATTTATATAAACATCTGAGTACCTATGACGTTTGACCACAGGTGGTAAATGGACACAATTTCTGCCTTTAAGAAAATTACAGTATAAGGGTACACAAGGAAGAAAAAAAATGTATAACCGGATGTCATAATATCACAGAAGTATGAAAAAGGTACTATGGGAATACCCTGGGGAGTCAGAAGTTGCTGACCTTGGAGCTAAGATGATACAAACTTGAACTAGTCCAGTGGCACTGGTGGTAAAAATTAGTATTCTAGAGAAGTGCTTCTCAAACTGTAATGTACAAATCACCTGAGGATACTATAAAAACACAGATTCTGATTCAGAAAGTGTGAGGTGGGGCCTGAGACTTGGCATTTCTAAAAAGATTCCAAGAGATACTAATGCTATTGGTCCACAGGTCACAATTTAAGTAGCAGATTCTTGAGGGAAATGGTTTTCAAGAGGGAAAAGGCAAAAAATGCCAAATTCCACAGCAGAGACACCAGGAAAAACAAAAATTGGAAAGTAGCCATTAGATTTGTCAAGTACATGGCCTTAGGGAGAGTAGTTTCAGGGGAGTGATGAGGGAAAAGTTAAATGATGTGTATTTAAAAATAAATGGGAACTAAGGTGGTGGGGACAGGAAATAATGAAGTGGTGTTTTTGTTTTCACTCTCAAATGCTGGAAGAGGCTTAAGTCTATCCACAAGCTGAAGGAAAGGAATGAGTGAAGAGAGAAAACTAAAGACAAAGCAAAGAGGATGGAATCATTTTGATTGGGTAGAGGGATTCCTCCCTTTAAAGCAGAAGAGAAGGAGATAAGAATTGGTCTGAATAGGTACAGCGAAAAGTGAAAAGAATAAGAGTTGAAGAAGTTACTCCTGTTTCACAGAACAGGAAGCCAGATGACCTAACGAGACAGAGTGAACCTGAGGTTGAAGGGAAGCACTGGAGGCACAGCTGAGGCTGGACTTGTCTACGGCTGTGTGATTCTGCTCAGCAGCATTCAGTAGTCAAGGTATAGGCTTACACAAAGTGGACTGGATAAGGAAGAGTGAGACTGATGCATTTAGAAAAGGAGGGAGGCAAGGGACAGAAATCCTCAAAAAATCAGAATAAGTACAATGAGAGAAAAGAAAGGAGAGAAGGTAAGAAGAGCTTTGGATTTTTTCTGCTTGAACCCCTAAGTACTTTTCAATAGAACAGTTAGAGAAATAATCTACTCTGTGTAAATTTGTTGAAAATTATATTGTTAAATATCATTCCCCAATTTAAATATTAAGTACTCAAGAAACCTGCTTGTAGGTTTACTATCCAAAGTGATAAGCAGCTTTAACAGATTCCAGATGTTTCTTTACAAATAGAAGCAATACCACAAATTTTCAGTAAAATCATACTTTGAATGGCTCCTTGCCTAAAAGGCTGGGAGGCTAGTCTAGTCCCTGATCCTACTGCTTGAATCAGAAAATGACTGAAGGATAACGGAGTACTCCAAGCACATACAGATGAACAGCTTGTATATACCAAGAGCACTGATTTTTTTAATAGATAATGATTTCACACTGACATCCTATCTGGCTGGCAGGTATACCCATTATAATTCAACTTAGACTGAGCAGTGATTTTCCTTTAAATATAATTATCCTTTTTTACCACATTACAATTTTATAAGACTCTTAGAAGTTTTTCTGTTTTTTTTTAACATAAAATTAACATGAGACAAACTATAGTGAAGCTGGTATAACTGACTGAAAGCACTAATGATTTCAGACATTTGCTGAAATTTCTTTTACGATATCACTGAGATTAGGAGGGATAGACAGTATAAATCAGACTTGAAAAGACATTTAAGAGGGTTTTCAGGCCCATACATTTCTTAACCAGTTTAGACAAATTTTACTCAAATCTGAGGATGTCTCTTTTTGTTCCATACAATTGCTTTACTGCTTTTGTTGGTTTTAAACAAATACAACCTTCCACATCTAGGTAATACATTGTTTGTCCCAAATATAAAAACAATTTAGAGGCTTTTAAAGAAGACATCAGAGAGAAATGAACTGGAACTTGACTCACATGACCACTGCTGTAAATAAAATTGGTCTATTTTCTTTTAGGCCTCTGAATGGGCTAATTTAGCATGACTGGTATATATATCAAACATTATGAAAATAGTATTTTAGAAAGTAAGTTGAATAAAGGGCTCAATCTTAATTTAAAATTAAGTATAAAATGACAAAAACTCTGATACCTAAATGGGAAGGAAATCCAAAAGAGGAGATATATGTATATGTATGGCTGATTCACTTTGGTGTACAGCAGAAACTAACACAACATTGTAAAGCAACTATACTCTAACAAAAATTAATTAAAACACAAAAACAAAAGCAAAAACAAAACTCTGATACTTAGAAGCACAACGCTTGACTCACCTGCGGCTAACTGATTTCTTCTCCACTTCACTCTCTCCAGCTGTCTTAACATTTGCACTTGTGCCCTTTTTTAACTTTTTCGCAATTCTTTCTCTCATCAGGTCCTTCTCATCACCATCAACATATTCATCATGCTCTGCACTTCCATATTCTCCATCCTGTAAAAATTGAAATGGAGTATTTGCTGGGCATTCCATTTTCTTCTTTCACTTCCAGAGGTCCATCTCAAACTCTCCTTGTTGCATTCTAGGCCAGGTTTATTTTTTGTTTCGTTTTGTTTTGAACTAGTGAGGGCTTCAAGAATCTGCTACAGGAGGGAATACCCCCTGGGATCTGCTCTAGGCCGGCTATGTAAGTACTGTATAGCCCAGTAAGGGTTGTTGCTCGGTCCACACCCCGCTCCTTTGCACAGCAGACTATGCTCCCTCTGGATCACCCAGGATATTGTCTATCTACATTCCTATTCCTTCCCAGTAGGAAATGTGGCTTTTGGAGGCAGTTGGCCAGCATACTGACCTCACCCAGGGATTAATGCAAGTAAAAGAGGTGGAGGTAGAGAAACTGATATTTCTTCCTACAATCTAAGTCATAGCAATCACTCCTCGGCTCAAAACCCTCCAGTGGATTCCCAACTCACTCAAACCCTACACAATCTGGACCTCCCTGACATAATCTCCTACAACTCCAGGCCAGCAACACTAGCCAACTTTGGAGTTGCTCTTCTCTCCAGCCTGAAACTCTCCTATTCCATGTATCTGCATTGCTGACTCTTTCATCTCCTTCAGGTCTCTGTTCAAATGCCACCCTTTTGGTGACACTTTTCTTGATCCCCCGACTAAAACGGCAGAGCCGCCCACCCACCTCCAGTACTCTCTATTCCCCTCCCCTATTTTATTTTTCCTCAAAACATTTATCACTCATACTATACATTTTAATTATTTATGTGATTATTGTCTCTCTCCCATAATCAGAGGAAGGAGTCCATTAGAACTAAAATTCTGGATTGATTTGCTTATTGCTAAATCTTCAACTTCCAGAATAGCTCCCAGCATCAAAAGAGCGAGCAATGGAGGGAGAAAGGAGGAAAGAGGGAGGGAAGAGGGTAGAGACGGAGAAGGAAGAAACTACCCAAGTGGACCTTTTTCTCTTGTGATTCTCTAACCAGGTGAGTCATGGTGAGGCAGGATTCTTGAGGCTTGTGGACCTGAGCACAGTGGTTCTCAAAGTCTAGTCCTCAGGCTATAAAACATGGATTGGCTCTAAAAATGTAAAGTCCTAGCCCTCATCTCAGTATTACTGAACCAAATCTCTAGGGATGGAAACTGTGAGTGTTTTCAATGAGATGTTTAAGAAATTCTTTAGCCTTAAAACTTGATAACCACTGACCTAGGTCTTCCATGCTTGGTCCTCAGGAGATATAAAAAAAAAAAAAATGCCCTGCAAATTCATAAAATTTTGTTTGTGGATGTAATATATTTCCTGGGAAGAAGGTCTGCAGTCTTAGTGATTGCAAAGGATCTTGGGACACAAAACAGATTAAAAACTATACAGTGTCCTTAGATGACCTCACTCCCTCAAGACCATAAGAACATAATTTTACATTAGGCCTTGAGCCTATCTTCCATATCCATATTAATGTTACACAGATGTCTCCAAGTTATCTGAATCTCAAAATGCACATTATTAAGCACACTATTTTTCATTGTTCTCCCCACCTATATTTTTTTTTTTTTTTTTTTTTTTTGCAGTACGCGGGTTTCTCACTGTTGTGGCCTCTCCCATTGCGGAGCACAGGCTCCGGATGCACAGGCTCAGCGGCCATGGCTCACGGGCCCAGCCGCTCCACGGCATGTGGGATCTTCCCAGACTGGGGCACAAACCCGTGTCCTCTGCATCAGCAGGTGGACTCTCAACCACTGCGACACCAGGGAAGCCCTGATTTTTAATTTTTGATAACAGTTAATAACGTGAAGTAGCTAGCAAGATAAAGGAAACAAAGAGTTTAAAACTAATAACCTTGGAAGAAATTTCAGACTGGGTACATTGGGGATTGCCAGTAATGCTCTTTTGTGATAAAGTCATTAGATTATCATCTCAGCCTTTGCCTCCTTATGAGTTATCAATGCAATTAATGTGATAATTTGTTTAAATTTGTGTTAAGTATTTCAAATGGTACACAAGGGTGTAGTAGATAGTAAACACTCCTTCATTCCCTTTGAGCACTCTTGTTTTCCTAGTTTGTCTTCTGGAGCCACAAAGAAAAAACTCGTGCCTTTTTAAAAAGCACAGCAGAAGTATTTGAAGGCAGCTATTGTATAATCCCTTTTAGCATTTTGTCTTCCAGGCTGAATTCCTCAGTTCTCTCCATAGTTTATTTATGAGATGGTTCCCACCTTCCTTATCTTTTTGTTGCCCATTTAATGCACATTTTTGAGTGTCAAAATCCTTTTAAAGTTCCATGCTTAGAACTGAATATACATTCTGGGTATGCTCTGCTAGCCTCAGGATAAAAGGAGTAAAATCCCCCATGATCCAAGTACTATACTTCCTTGATCTGAACACTATACTTTTTTTTTTTTTTTTTTGCGATACGGGGGCCTCTCACTGTTGTGGCCTCTCCCGTTGCGGAGCACAGGCTCCGGACGCCCAGGCTCAGAGGCCATGGCTCACGGGCCCAGCCGCCCCGCTCATGTGGGATCTTCCGGGCCTCTCACTGTTGTGGCCTCTCCCGTTGCGGAGCACAGGCTCCGGACGCGCAGGCTCAGCGGCCATGGCTCACGGGCCCAGCCGATCCACGGCATGTGGGATCTTCCCGGACTGCGGCACGAACCCGTGTCCCCTGCATCGGCAGGGGGACTCTCAACCACTGTGCCACCAGGGAAGCCCTCCCCACCTATCTTTTGTACCCATCTAACAAGTTGCCCAAATCAGAAACCTTGTGGTTGTCTTAGACTCCTCCTTCTCCCTCACCTCAGAGTATGGAATCAGTGACCTCTTAGACCTCTTTCAAATCTGTCTCTCTCCCATCTCACACCTGTGGTCTTCTATCAAGCTCTCCTCCTGGCATAGCTTCCCTATAGGTCTCCTTGACTCCAGCCTATTTCTTCTAATTTGTTCTCTCTAATATTGCCAACAGCGATCTTCCTAAAACGCAAAGTTGACCATATACTCTTCCTTTTAACTAATACCCTTCAGCTGTTTCTCATTAGTTTGAGGATGAAATTCAAATTTCTCCCCATAGCCCAGGAAGCTCTGTAATATTTGGCTTCTTCCTCCCACTCCAACCTCACCCACTCTCCCTCCTGTCATGACGCTCTGGTCACACTAGTTTGCTTTTAGCTCCTGGAACATATCAAACTCTCCTACTTCAGAGCCTTTTGTACATGTAGGTCCCTCTACCTTCAACACTCTTCTTCACTGCTCCTCACAAGGCAAGTTCCTTCTCAAACTTTAATCTTAGCTTGTACTTCCTAAATAAGGTATACTCTCTCCTTGTTACGAGGCATTAGCATATGCTGTTCTCTGAGGAATCCCACCCTTCACCAGTTTCTTTTTTGATCCAGTTAACTCCTAATTCTCCTATAAGACACAACACAGCATCATCTCTTCCTGGAAGGTTTTCTTGACCAGGTTAGATAGCCATCCTTTCTCTATTATATATAGTCAGAGAGAATCCTCTCTTTTGACTATGGTAATAGATGAAGCTGTGTTCTTGCATGGACAGTTATGCACTTCCTTCTGTACAACACACAGATCAATGAGTTTTTACATAAAGTGGTAAACGAATGACTTGAAAAACTTGATCTCTTATACATAAAGGAGACTCTGCCTTCTGTTTTATCAGCTTTAATAGCCAGTACAAGTAATGAAGAAAGGTCACTACAGTCTTGAGAGAGAGAATCTTCCAAAATGTGTGTATGAAGAAGGAAACTACCATAAATGACTGGTATCCAAGTATTTCCCATACAACATGTAGGATATCATGCATCAACATTTAAACTTTTATCATAACAAAATAAAATCAATGACATCTAAATTTTGAGTACTCATGTTATGTTACGTGACAGGGAGAAAAAACAGGCTAGAAATTCATATGTAAGATTCTGATTTTGTAAGGAAACACACACATACAATGAAGGAAAATTCCAATATCAAAATAAATATTTTTCAAATCTTTCCATTTTTTTTCAAAATTTTCCATATATAATTATAAAAGGTAATACATATTACCTTTTAGTAAAAATAATTTAATCATTTGTAAAGATTTTGAATTTTCTATAAATTGTTCAACTATATTTATACTAAAATTAATACTCACATCATCTGAATCTCCTGCTGCATCCCCTTTTTCACTAAAAAAAAATAAGGAAAACAAATTTTAGCTTCAAAATGAAACTAACAAAATTATTCAATTATCCAAAAATTTAGAATATTTTGCTGGGATTAACAGTTCAAAAACACTTCAACACAGGAATTTCAGAATGGCATTGTAGAGCAAATAGAAACATTCTAAAGGGAAGTTGTTTTTATACATAGAATAAAAGGTATGCTCCATTAGCACAAATACAAATTCACTAGAATTTTTTTTAAAAAGCAAACAACCAAATAACAACCAGTGTTATTTTCATGAACAAAAGGCTGCAGACAACAATTTCTTCTATTGGCTTGATGTATTCAGGCTGAAGAAGCCAAATCCTTCAAATAAAAGGATATTAAGAAAAGATTGTTTTAATATAGAATCTTTTTAAATGAGCTACAATAGTGAGTACAATAGTATTTTAGTCCCCTTTTGAGACACTGGCCCAGTGAATCATGTACAATTATATTTAACAGTAAGACATCTTCCCTTATCAAAGAGAAGCAACAAAAATTTTCTGATAACTCCTGAAATATGTAAGGAATAATACTCAGTGAATTGGCCCAAAATGTGGTGACTTCTTGACAAAACGCTTCAAATCTGATTTGCTTACTCATGATTCTGAGACAAAAATTATGTAAGGGAAAAGTTAGCAAAGAAATTTCCAATTAAACATTAAATTGTTAAAGCAGACAGTTTCCTAGTATTCAAACTATCCCAAGATTTAAAAGTTTAACAGCTAATTTTAAATTTAATTAGTTCAGCAGAGGTTGATAGATAGCAAGGAGAGTGAATGTGACTAGAGTGATTCTCTCCATTATGCTAGTAGCTCTACTACCCCCATTATCAAAATGCTTTAGTTTTTTGGTTGGGTTGACAAAATTTGACTTATGAGAACTGACTGTTTACTTCCAAAGGAAGCAAGAAAATGATCTGAGCCAGACAATAAGAACTTAGGATCACACTAGCACCATGCTAACCTTTCAACAGCTGGAACAGAGCTGAGATGTGGATCATCCTTAAGCAAGTCATGACTACTTTTGCTTTTTCCCTTCATGCTCTAGAAAGGAATGTATGATACAATCATGAGTGGAGAAAAATAGTCTTCCAAAAGGACAAGTTAACACATTTACATAAAAATCTAGTACTGATATAATGTCGTTAGCAAAAGGTATATGTTCCTGAAAATTTGAGTACAAACAAAGGCTTTATAAATAGCAATCTTATTCTCCCATTGACTAAAAGTATTTTAGAAACATCTTTCTTTCAAAAAGTGATATATCCTTAAAAATAAGTTTATTGATTACTATTTCCAAACACTAAACCCTCATTGTGATTTACCACTAATTAATTTTTGACTGATATATTAAAACTTAGAAGATAGATCACAAAAGTAATTTGAAATAAACACACACTATTATCCTTCAAATATACTGTCTATACTGCACAGAATCACTTTAAAAATGTACCCAAGCACCCAGATGAGAGCACCTACAAGGTGCTATTTAACATATGTAAAAGAGCCTTTCATGTATGACAATATTCATCAATGACCTAATATTTATTAAATACTTTAATTTCAAAGTTCATGTTCTCAATAAATTTATATTTTAGTAGGGAAACAAGACATAGTAAGATATAAGAAGTAGAACTATTAAAAAAACTACTACTACTATTATTCTAATTTATTAAATATATACTTTGTGTCAGGCACTGTGCTACAATATTCCCACCTTTCAATTCCTCCTGTCCCCAAATGAAAGTAAATAAAGTGGGTGTTATTAGCCCCATTTTACAGAGGGAAAATAAAGACTTAGAGAGATTAGCGATTTACTAAAGGTCACAAAGCTAGTGGTATAGCATCTAGGATTTAAATCCTGGTCTGTCTCACAATGATATAATAAATCCATTTTTCTTTTCCTAGAGGCCCCTATGGACCCAGAACAACTGGCCTGGTTTCAGAGCTGCAGACCATCCTACAGACTTCTCCACCACAAGGTATGAAAACTTCAAATTTATACCTTGTATCTCGAGGTGGAAAGCTGCTCACCATCCCCACCTCTCAACTAATCATGTAAGAGTGAAGAGTATGAGGTTAGAGTTGACAGGAAGATAGGAAAATTTCTTTCTATTTTGAAGGAACATTTTATTTTGAAAAATTCATCACAAAATGTGTTAACTAAAAATACAGAGAGGTAAAAATAACTCTTTC